ACGAATTTTCTTAGGTACATACTTCACTGCAGCCTATATTACGGCGTCTCACACCGTTTGCTGTCGAGAAAGTTTTCTTAGACTTGCAAAGGCGCTCCTTCTTCTTCCATTCAGTATTTTTAACCTCAGTTAATTACGCAGAAGGTGATTACATCTTCTTCGTAAACAGGAATGAGGCGAAATGCACATGTTGGACATACTGTGCGTACAGTTTGCCATGTGCTCATGTCGTGGAGGCCTACTTAAACTCAAATCTAAACTGTGGTATGTTCCATTTCCTTAATTGTTAATCTTAGGTATTCTGAGAAATAGTGATAGGTGGAGACGTCAGTATAACATGATGGACAACATTCCGCGAGCCATCCACTTAACACCGGATCCAAACAACGCGTTTCCAAATGCTTATCAACGTTTAAAATGTCGTCCCAACAGTCTGAACCAAAGAAATCCGGATGTTGCACTGTGGGAAATATCAGAATTCACTAGAGGGTTGGCCAGTTTGCTGGCGAATGAACCACAAACAACTTTAAGACCACAACATGTCCCTGTTAATCGCTTATTTTTGTGAAAATGTTTTTAATACCATATTGTTTCCATATGTGTTCATAATATAAACATATACGTCTAAACTGCTGTTACACCTCCTTTCCTTTGAATAGCCTAAGAGTGACAGATTGATGCATACTTTGGTTGATTGTTTCGTGATGAGAGCGCTTTGGAAGTCAGTTAGAAATTACACCGATTTGTGCCTTATTTACTACGTTTTACCAGCCGAAGATTTCTGCTTCATAGCATATCCTGAGTAACAGTTACTAATACGATTTATCCCTTTTGCCGTAGCAATCTCAATCTTCCATCAATTCTAAACTTTATTCTAACCTATTCTTCGATAATGCCTTTTTATAGTAAATGAAGATTTTATCTACCCACTATATTCTGAAATAACGCTGATCGTGTTTAAAAAGAAAGCTGGGTGCAAAATGAAGTCTTTTCGTTTTGAAGTAACGCTAGTCCGTGCTTAATATATCCTGTGAGGGCTGAAACAACGCTGATAAGCACACCCAGCAGGTTCTAATGTACTTCTGAAAATGCCTAGCCAAAGGAAAGGGTGCTGAATTAGTGCCAGTCATGGTGAAGACCAGCACTGAGTTATAGTCTGTGCCATTAGAGAATCCAGTTCATAACAGATTCAGAATTTACTCACTATAGTATGTCAGAACTATTTCAGAATTAGTAAGATTTAATTCAGAATTATAATAAGCTTGGGATGCTTAAAAGACCAACCTTACAACAATCCCCAGCAAAATCTAACCAACGCATCAATAATGCCTTTTTACGGTCAATGAATATTTCATCTACTTGTAGTGAACCCATTATTTACTGAAATATCCATGATCCTTCTTTAAAAAGAAAACTGGATGCTGAGCCTGGGACAGGAGGGCTGCAATAAGGCTGATAAGCTACTTCTGGAAATGTGAAAAAGAAGAGCAAGGTGGTGAATTACAGCCAGTCATGCTGATTAACCAGCGCACAGTTCCAGTTTGAGCAAATAATCAAACAACGGTAGAACATTTACGGAGTTTAATTAATAAAGAATGTTACTATATTAGCATAGTATACGTCAATTAGCTCAATGATTGCAAGTTAACCATAATCCTTAACACCAACATAATAACTAGGAACTTCAGGCTAAAAAATAAGCATCATGGTAGCATCCAGTGACAAAAACTGACCTACACACTACAAAATAAGCAAAACGTCCAAAAAAAACCTTAAAATTTCAATAGGAAAACAATTGACGAAAACATATAACCAGCAGACGCAGGAACCCATCATGACCTTGAAACTGGCTTTAGCGTCTTTCTCAGAAGACAGCATCTAATAGATTCTCCTCACAATCGGTAGATAGCTAAATGACACGGAAAATACAGTGGAAATTAGTCAGGCATTCGAACTAATGAATGCGGGAAGAGAAGCACAATAGTTTTGGTTGACGGGAGCCACTACCATCAAAAGACTTCACCTTAACCTTTGCATTCATAATGAGTGTGATTCATCGCCCACTTCCCTGGTAACCATAATTGTTCTGGTCGTGTGCTTTTGTGTTTTGTCCTGTTGCGTAAAATCCCATTCAATCTTGGTTTCGATTTTCACTCACTGAGTTCAACGCACTTATAAGGTTCTAAATTTACTGAGTCAAATTGAATTATTTTATATATTTTAGAGTTTTGGTTCGTATTTAACACCACCCTCTCCAAGCCTCCATCATAATATGTATAAATTAAATCTGTTTTTCAATCTTGCATTTTGTCTCTGGTCCATCCTTGTCTCCAAGTGAAAACAGAACAGCAAACTCTTGTCTTAGTCTTTTGAATCATGGAAAATACCCATCGGAACATTAGATTGAAAAGAACAAGAATTTTAGCTGAACTTCTTGTTCTTTTTAGTCTTTTGACACTAAATAAATGTTTACTTACATCATCTTTGAGATCACGTTGCCTATACTTTCTATCTATAACATGAGATCATTGTAAAAATTATGTTCAAACGCTATTTTGCAACATAAAAACGATTTCTTAAGTATGTACGCAGTTGAAGAGAGAGAATCGACGAAATAAAATGAGCTCGTATTATCCAAACTGCAAATATGTTCTCTCTTTCTGTATTCAAACTAATAAGGGGAACAGGCTGTATGTGATGGTTTAGTGTGATGACAAAACGCTTTCGAACGCATAAAGGTAATCCTAACTGCTAGGACTTCCACAAACACTTTCTACGGGTGACCTTAAAAGACGTCCGCACAACAATTTTATGTTCTGTCTCTAAAATTCAAACACTATCTAAAGGTTAAGTGAATAATATCAACCTAAGGTGTAAAATTATCGTTGAATGCGATGCGTTGCGATTTCATCAATTATGTATTACAAATCATACATTTCTGAGGCAGTTTTATAAGACTTTGAAATTTAGTAAATTACAACCAAATGTCTCTAATATTGTTCACCTTAGAAATGCAAATATCGAAAAGCTGCCCTTCACATCGATGCATAGTTTATTAAATCTGTATTATCAATAAAACGCTAAATGAAATTGCCTCAGTGTTTTAGCAATTTTCCTTAGAAAACAAAGACAAATATTTAAAATAAGTTGAAAAGTTCAGTTGATGATACATACTACGTAACTCTTTTTTCCTGTGGAATCCCGGTAAATATGTGTGAGAAATCCTTCGGTCATTAGTCTATCTACTCATCGGAGAGATGCTTCTTCTCTTCGATCGAAATTTTGTGTTTCTCGCATACAATTTACGGATTCAGCCATCCATCCTGAGTTCGAAAATTTAGAGGACCAACGCGAAACTCTTTTCGCAACACCCGATGAAGATCAGGTTTGGTTCTAAGCCAAGATGGTGGATATAGCTCACCAGTTTTCAAACAGCAATCTGAAACAGGAAAGCATTTTACCTTCCCATCAGTTCAAAGCTTTGAAATAGTTGCAGGAAAGCCATAATACAACAATAACGAAACGTGATGAAATGTTCTGGAGTTGTCATCATGTACAAAAGTTACAACAAATCTAAGGTGTTATCTATTCTTGCTGACAAAATTAATTCAGACGTTCTTCTTCTTCAGAAGATATTCAGTTTTTGCGATACACAGTCACACTGTAATTAAAAACGAATTTGACCCTCTGAAATCATCAGAGTGCGAGCTCCAACATATGTATGGTTGACCAAAAACACATACACCCGATAATCCTCTTTGTCCTACATTCACAACGTGCAGATTTACAACACATAAACTAGCTAAATGGTTAGTAGAATTATTGCACACTGTTAAACCACAATTCTGTAAGTGTGTGTTAAAAGATACATTTTGAATAAAAATATGTATTGTTTTGATGTGAACTCTTTATTCACCGATGTGCCTTTACTTAAGACAATCGACATTTTGCGTGATTACATTTCCACTCATAACTTTCTCATCCCGTTCCATATATATTTTATTGAAAGGATTTATTACTACTACTTACTAGTAGTGTCAGTTTTGAAGGCGATTGCTACCATCAAGTTGATGGTGTTGCTATGGTAAGTCTGTTGGAGTGCCCTTTATCAGACATTTATATGTCGTATAATCAATGTATATCGGAATACCTAACCGAAACTGCACTGCTTTGAAGACGATATGACGACAACAGTGTATTTGTAAGCGATATGTCTTGTTCTGCCACTGAATTCGTCATGCTAATCGCCCTCTGCATAAACCTCCAGTAATTTCTTTTATCACTGACAATATTATCATTATTTTTGCTACAACTGCAATCACCGTTATTGCTGTTACTCAAATCAATTAACACATTAGTTTTGATTCACAAACTCACTATAAACTGTCGAATTTTATTGTACATATACATTAGAATGAACTCTGAAAGGGATCTAGTTGGAGACAGTTTTTTTCGCTTATATGTGTAATTTTAATTTGAACAATATTTCAAACTAATTTGTTTGTTAAATATTTAGCTGTGTTTCACAAACGGAATGTTGTGTACATTCTGATACAAGTAAATATTTGCGATTGTTCAACTAAGCGAATGAATTCACTGCTGACCTATTTATATCCTAATTCGAAGTCTGTAATCAAATTCAAACTCTATACTAACCCCCTGTGAGTAGATCTCATTACACTAATGAGTAGTACAGAGAGGTTTTTCTCAGTAAGCAATTCAGTTTTGTATAGCATTTCATTCTCTAAGTAAAATTTTGGCGAGACTCATTGGAACAGCAACCATGCCCAATTTGTTCGATTTCACACTGGATATTATTTTTCTAATTTAAGAAGCTTGTCAATAATACGGTATTCCATGAAATGACGATATTTTGTGTCCTTCGACTGGAAATACTTTGTTAGGAACTATTCAACCGCCAAACGCAGTATAACATAAAGGACGAAATTATCTAAACTACAAGAATGAAATTATGAAAGATAGTACAAGACAGATTATTTCAGAGATGAATTTATTGTTTTAATTATTACAGAAAATAAAATCATTAAGTTTGTGTTAAATTAGTTACAGACTAACTACAGTATTATTATTATGAAGAAACAATATTACAATATTACAATTACATATTTCAAAGATTAAGTTCAACAGATGCACGGCAATTGTTCATTACAAAATATGCGAAGTATTGACTACTCATCTGAAATTGAATAATTGTGAAGAACGTGTTCATTATTATTAAATTATTGAAACGTTTTACCTTGAAGACTTAGTAAGAAGTGAAATACATCCACAATTATCTGTTGAATAAATATAAATTTAATAATTAGGCTAATAGGATTACTACATCCTGAGCTCTAGATCGTATAGTGTCTTCATATCTGTCAAACGATTCTGAGTATTTACGCACCTATGATCTGCAAATAGTTATGGGTATCTTACGAAATTTAGGAAAAATTTAGGAAATCACAAAACACTTTTGTAAATCACCGAAGACGCAAGATACAAGCAGCATGCATTTTACTGAATCCATGAGTTCATTCGTTCTATTTCAAGAAAAGATTTCATACTGAAAAAGGGCAAAGCAGTAGCCAGATGTGCATACGGAGGTATAGCAGTCTGTGAGAAATGCTTCTTTGTTTTTACTAATTTCTGGATGGGGATTATTCATGAGCGCATCTGCATGTCAGTCGCATAGACTGACTGAAGGTGAGGGCATTGCTCCGCCAACAAATCCCTTCACAAGTTGATGACTTCAACGTAACTCTGTGTTCCCGTGATCAGGCAGTCACAAACACATTCCGACTACTACTCGATCAACTGTCGAAGACCGGAAGGAGTATGATCAAATACTTCTCTTTACTGACTGACGGCTTGGCAAATGAAGAATAAATTCTTCATGGTTATTCATTTAGTAATGCATTCGTGATAATCAGTGACTCTCTCGAAACGCTAGAAAAACGCAAGTGAACACATTGATGCTGGATTCTCGTATTACACTTCTTGTGAGGATGCAGTCAAGTTACTATAATAATGACAATTCAGATGCGCTTACATTTTGATGAATTCCTCTGAAGGAATAAGTATTCTGTTAAAAAGAAATTGTGTTTAGTTACGCAGAACGCAAAGTACGAAATGCAGTGAAACCGATTTCTCACAGTATTCGTCAGAAGATATTGAGTGAACAAATGTTAGTCACTTGAGAGCAGCTTCTTGACTTCGATGTATGCCAGTTTCCTGCACATGGTGTCAACTGGCGAAGTGATACTGTTTCACGTCAGTAAAATGTCAGGCTATTCTGGAATATGTCGTGATTATGCTGCACTTTGTACATTGCAGTCTAACGTGCACAGGTAACCCCTGAATTTCATCCCCTATTTCCATAGTGAACTTCCATACTGAGTCTACATGACAGCTGTATGTGTGTGAGACGAAATTCTCAGTATCATTCTTCCGATCTATCACTCACGTGTCATCTGCACATCTCCACCAAGACTCTGTTAATGATATTATTTATGATTCAGGTAAATTGTCCTCCCTAAAATCCTCGATTATGTCAGCTATTATCGATGGGATGAACGATTCAATGACCATCGTTTCATTTCTTCTTCGTGTGCACTCACGACATTGTGACTAATAACGTCAAAGTTTCCTCTATCCCCTTTCCATTGAAAGTGTCCTGATACAGTGTGTCTGAAAACTTCGTCTATTGGAAGTGTCGTGAGTGTCCAAGTGTTCTGAGCGTGCCACTCCGAAATCATAATGAGTAACAGTGATGCCTCTCTCAAATGAACACCAGATGGTGTACATTTTCACCATGTTCATTTATTCACTTGTGATTTTAATTTAGTTACTCCTCTGACTAAATCCTTGATGAGAATTACTCATACGTGTTCTTCCTTAGTCAAAGTAGTAACAAAATCTAAAATTAAGTAGCAACATGATTCTATGCAATTCTCTTTCAAATTTGAATTCAAATTTGAAAATGTATCTAGATACTTACTCTTCATCTCCTCAGGATTATTCTTCCAGCCATCTGCAAACAAATATGGGAGTTTCATCATTTGCAAGAGAAACAAAAATGTAGGATTTTGTGTGCAGTCAAAGAGTAGGCTTCACGATATGATGAATAGGTTTCGAATGAATTCGATGTATGCAATCTATGAAATCTGTGTATTTGAGTTACAAGTAACTTATACTGCAAATACACGTTCCCTGGTGAAGTGGAAAGACGATCTGAATGCAGTGTCATCCTCGCTCGTCACCATCCAGGTAGTGGGATTTTAACTGAAACAACTGACTGAACAGTGTTTATCCGAGGCACTCAGACACATCAGATTACAGCATTCTCTGTCACAATCAACAGATCATGCGTGATTCTAGAAGTGCGTGCAAATGTGACGTCACCTCATGCTTTGTCTTGTCTGACGAGTGTTCCAATCTCTCAGTGATGCAGTTTGAGGATGCTTGTGCATTTTACATATCTATCCTCTTCAACTTGTCAACCTGCTTGAATAATTCTCACACCTGAGTTGAAATCCAACACGATGCAACATATTCTCTGTGATCGAAATTATTTTGCCAATTCAATCAATTATTTCCCTGAGTGACGAGACGTACTCATGCACATTTTAATTGCGTTGTGAACTACGCTGAGGATTTCTCAGGGAAGGTGAAGACAACCTATCGAATGGGACTAGTCCATACCGTATATGAAAGAGCAATGAATGAGGAGAAAACAGAGTACAATGAATTACGATATGTACTCTGTATACCAGGCGAGGATTTTGTCAGGAGGACAGCTGTTATTATAATGATGTTGATGGTGGTCTCACATTCTCCAATTGTGTTTCAGGCAGCAACATTACTCACTTACATACGAAAGCAAGCCTGACAAACTACGTTGTCATTACTGACTATGACATTTCAAGCGTCAGCATGTAGACTGAATCATACGATTTCTTCTGTGGCTATAGATGAACAGATGGTTTGTTGTGGATTCATCGGAAATCTACTTATTCGCTACCAATTTCCTGCACCACTACTGGACTCCGAAGACAGGTAGGTGAAGCAAACCTCAAGATGATGGCAGGTCACTATCAGTCATTGCAAGGAGTTAAACAGATGATAAGAAAGCTTATTTGTCCGAAGGAACAGAGTGCAGTTCAACTTACAAGTCCCCACTGGCGGTTCTGCAGTTGATGGCTTTCCTGTAGAATGTGCGAAATCGTATAATAAATACACGAAAATACTAACATGTTCACAGATAAATGGCGAGTAATAAGTAGTGAGATTTCTTCACGGTGCATACTTTATTTATCGATGTCGAAATTCTCAGCACATAGAGAAGAGGCTTTGTAAAGGATCGGTCAAATCACGCTGGCACTAGCGCCAACGAGACATCCAGTGTTCGGTTTACAACGCATTTGAAGGCGTCAGCAAACGCGCTTTCCCCCAGAAGGCAAAGATGGCGATATTTTGAATGGATGGCTGTCTCTCATTTGGTTAGGTTCGGTATAGAAATATGCTAAGCGACCTGGTTATCAGGCAAGCGTGTTCAAGATGTAGGTTGAGTGAAGACACGCAACTGTCAATGCTGAACAAAGGTAGCAATTCTGGGGCATCTGTTCCATTGTCAAGCTTCTGGCCTCATCAGGGAGATCTCCTCACCGGGCTGCATTCACAGTCATAGGTGTGGTGCATTCAGGTGAATATTGTCTAAGTTGACGCACAGAAAGATGTGCAATTTATACAGGAGACAGATTATGTGAACATGAGTTATCATAATTTTTAGATATGGTGTAGTATATGTGTAGCTCACGTGGATAGTGTGCATAGGGTTTCGGTTCGTTTAGATATTCCTCAATGAAATTTTATCGAATCAGCAATTTGTTTATGTGATCGTCAGTATCCAGCACTTGAAGCTGGCACTGAATATCCGAAATCCTTTGCAAATTCTATCAGTGGGACACACACACATTTGCCAAACACATTGATTCTCTGTTTCGACATCAGCGCTAAAAGTCTGAATCGTCTTCCTTATTGTTAATGCAGTGCCTTTTCACATTGTTTTGAGAATAATGCAAATCTATCTCGCTTTTGTGATCCAACATTCGACATGCCAAATAATGCTGCCGATGTTTGAGTCGATGCTGCCTGGATAATTAGGAGAATGAGATTACTTCAAATTTATCCTGTCAGCAGTTATCATCCTTGTTGTTTAGTTGCCATCACCGAATGCTTACTCATTCTAGATGTTACGCGTGCAGCTAGTTCTCATAAATATTTGGACTGAACATGTTATCCCCAGAGCCCATGCCATATTGGAAATAAGTCGTCCGAGAAGTCAACATCTTACACCGTCTCCCTATATACAAAACGCATTTCTGTGCACACGCACAGATGGATTGCTATATTATCCAGCATACAACATGAATACGAGTGTGATTTTCGACTACGTGAAAGCATGCACGTCTCTGTTTCCTATGGAATTTCAAAAAACTCTACAAATTCAGTTGATAGTTGTGAGAATCAGTGAAGAATGAAGATGCAAGTGACTGTTATTTTACTAACTCCGTGAATTTATTGGCTATATATAGGAAAAGGATTTGCATTTGTGTTAACAAACTGATTCATACGAATGAATGCAGTGACTTTGGTAGAGATTATAATTTTTGCTTACTTCCGAGAGCTATTAATTTTTCTCCGTATTCTAATAGTTGAAAAGAAAGACAAAATTATTTGTTTATTTCAATAAGGAATAGGTGAACGAGTCGGTTCTCGACTGAATTAGAACTGTAAGCTATGGTCATTCCACTGTGTCTTAGAAGTCCAAGTCAAGTGATGATTACGAAAATATCTACTGTCTGGATGAGGTGTAGTGCCTTGTAGTCCTAGAGTGATTGACAGTCCAGTCGCCTCATTAATGAAATAGTCTTGTATTTCACATCATGACTTATGACAATTTAGTATTTATATAAATGTATATATATATTCATTTATATGAATGACGATTTGGTAAAAGTGTTTAATAAAGAGATGACATAATTTGGAGTTCAGTGGGGAATGACGTTAACCTGAGAATCACACTCCATTCATCGTCTCCCATTCCAGTTCCACTCGAGTGCTAGCCTGCCGCGCGGTGTCGTTCAGCGGTCTCCTCAGCGTCTGTCCAAGGCATTGCCATTTCCTTTGAAATATCTGTTGAGCGATGGGCCCTGGCATGCTGGTTCCAGCCCAAAGTTTCTTGTTGCTACTTCTTTCAGGTTGGCCGCTAGATCTGCTGAATAGAGCAAGCGGAGAGTGCAGGTGTTGAAAAACGTCTGAGGCAGTCTGTATAAAATGCTCTCCGTGACTCTGACGCCAAGTCTCTGACGCAATTAGAAGAACTGACTGGCTAGACACTGGTGCTGACCATCGGAATCTCCTTCCTTACGCTGAGTGGGAGCAGGAGATTCGCAAACTGACTTCAGAGTAATGAAACATTTTCTTGCGCTTCCCATTCTGGTTCTTACATCTGGATTCATTCTGTCCACCTGTAGTTGCAGTGATGCTTCCTATGTAAGTGTAGGAAGTAACCCTTGTCAAATGTCTCCCGTTGAGAGTGACTACTGCTCGTTGTTCAGGCGAAGTCCTGTATTCGTCGCCCCCTCCTCTACCGGCTTTTTCGATTTTGCCCATAGGTCTCCGAGTTTCTGTCACATTACACATAAATCATCGACGAAATCCACATCTTCTTCAGTTTTCTTATCGGTGGTCCAGGATATCACTGTCTTCTCACCCCCACCCGAATTATGATGCTCGATCCAGCAGGATACATTTAACAATATCATCGGTGATGGTAGGCAGGCAGCCATGTCTTACTGCTGTCTTCACTTCAGACGCCTCACTAAGTTGTCCGTTGTGGATCACTTGATATGTACCCTTGTCAGAGAGCTGGCTGTTGAATGAGGATTGTAGATATTTGGAGCAAGCCTCACTGGTACAGTTGATCCTAACAAGCACAGGTGAGATGTTTCCCTATCGCTTTTTGTCGTCTTCAAGCTCTTCTAACTACCTGGCTGACGTGCCTCAGATATTTCTAATTTCCATCAGGGTGCATTATTCCTCTATTCAATCCACCTTTCATTCATTCATTCACTCAGTATCACATCTCTGCATTACACATTGAATTTCTATCTGATGACGAAGACAAATCACTGAATGATTTTGCATTCTCCACTGACAGCATTTCATCTCCGCATAATTCAATACAATAGGCTAGTGTGAGATGAAATCTGCTGACGTTTGTTTCAGGATGTCCATTCTCTCAACCCCCCCAACCTGATTAAAACTGTTCAAGCGGACATTCTGCGTTGAAGTATCCTTCAATTTTAAGAAGTCTCGAGGAGATTGTGGCTCTCAGTAATTGGAGTGGCTGATGTTCGATTGGGAAGTATTGACAGGGTATCAGTACTTGGGTGGTTTTAGACGACGTGTTGAGCAGAGATTCGAACACTTGTACAGATGACCAGTGATATCATGAAATGCATCATGTATATACATGCATGTGGATATTCCCTCTTCTACAGGCCACACATTCACATTCGAAGGTGTCAATTGTCACAAAATAATGTAATGAAACGCTTCAACTCACCGTTGAGAAATTTGTTCATGAATTCTAGATCAGTTGATGAAAGGAGACAAATTAGACAGTAATTTATAGACATATTTGTCAGTGTGTGATATGAAAAATAAAGGAGTGAAGACGAGCCTACATCAGTCAGAGGACCACTTGAAATCAAACAGTGGGTGCAAACGGCTGCATCGTCAGCCCAGTTGTGCACTATTCAACAGCACCCACACACCACAGTTGTGTGTGAAGTCTGAACATTCCGGCTAAGAGGCGAGCTGGTGGACCCTTCACCCACTGAAATCTAACCCAATGGTCAATGAATAACAACTTCTGCCAACTCGTGATATGTAACAAGCGCAACCACCAGTGTGACCAGTGATGAACACCAAGTCAGGGAAGAGGACATTTACTCACCTGTGACACTGGCTGGCGCTTGTGCTAAATACGCATTACGAATAGGAGGACGCTGGGATATATGGAATATTGAGTTTGTTACCAGTCGCTTTATTGTCTATCAGCGTGGCTCTTAACCACATCATTCCAGTTTCAAACACTCGTGTGTGTGTGTGTGAATGTACTGCCTTAGAGCCTAAGACTATGCTGACGAACAGCTGTGCAGTTCTTCATGCTAGTTTCCAATGGTTTTCGTCTCGTGAGCAATCGTGTTGCCAACTGAATCCTTGAAAATGAATACTTCACACATAACCTGAATTTTATCCGTGAAGCTAATGAGACTGTTGCTAGATTTCATAGCTCAAGTAAATGATATTGCAGGAGTTGTTTTCGCTGTTAGCTAAACGCCCCAACTGCAGAGTTTTCGTTGAATATCCAGCCTGAGAAGACAATCAACTCCTCCTTGATATCCTAGATAGCGCGAAATTTACGTCAACACTACTTCCCCTTCATCTATTGGACTAAATTACTGCCTTGATGTTGAGCGTTCAACTGAATCTCTACATTTCAAATGGCTTTTCAGAAAATCAGTTAACCTATTCCGGTGGCATAGAAGGCTGGCCGAATCCGGATTGCGTGATTACGGATCTGAGTTTTTTGGATCTTAATTGAATGCGTAACCCGGGTCTGTTCGGCCGGTGGAGATCCCGGGTAGCTGTGGAAAATCAGTGATTCGCTGGCACAAACATATTGTCTATCGAAATCATTTGAGTTAACATTTGTTGTCCGAGTATGTTTGCTTCAGGGTAGGCTGTGAACTACTGGTGAATCAATTGACTAGTGGATCATGTTATGTTAACAGACAGTACAAGTTCAGCGAGGAATAATGAGCATTGACGCAGCAGAAGAAGAACAAGGAGAAGGAGAAGAAGATAAGGAAAAGGAGGAGGAGGGTTAGGATGAGGAGGAGTTCACAAACCTGCTTTGGCCAATTTTTCTGCTGCAATCGGGTCATCTGAAAGGAATGAAATCAATCAGGGAGGAATTGTCACTTGTTCGTGAGAGGTCGTTGAAAACATTGACATGAAAGTTACATAGAATGAAATGATAGGATGACACTTTGAAAGATAAATATCAACGAATACATATGAATCTTGATAAGATCGGTCAATCCATTATTGCACATCACGTCTGATTGCTGTTCACGTAAGTGAGAACGAACCTAGGACAGACGCTTCGACATGATTCTTCACAGATTTGATAGAAACAGTTGGTAGGAATTGAGAAGAACATCTTAAACTGAGACATCTCCTTCAATTCCAAGTATCTTACCTCACAAACATTTTTTTCGTGATAAGGTCACCTGAAGTGTCGAACGTTTTAAGTAACTCGCAGACACGTCTTTGCGTTTTCGAATGACAACACCAAAGGAAACTGTAAAGACTTCGATTGAATCTTTCTTAGTGTCGACTGATTCTCATCTCTATTAACCGCTTTTGGTGTAGTTGGTTTAATTGGGGTCACGTCGGTGAGCTTTTCGTCTCAAAGAATATTTGATCATCCATAATTTTTCTTCATGCAAATTCTAATGAGAATAGGCTAGCTAACATTACATGTCTTAATGTTAAATGGTTGTAGCGATTCAGCTGAAGTAACCCCTGAATCACCTTGGTTCCGCGCGCGTTGGCAATAGCCAGTCAGCAAGACGTATCTGAAATCCACAAGCGTCTCATGTTCTCTGCAGTCAGAGACGTTGCCGCTGAGCAAGCTAGCTTTCCGCACTCGTGATTGAACTCATGTAGGACTGTATTGCTGACTAGTACCAGTCAACAATTAGGAGACATAGGACCAGGAGCGACTTCCTGTCAGTTGCCTCCAAACACCGAATAACGAGAATCCTGAGTACACAGTGATGAAGATCTGCCTAGCTCGTTGGTGGTCACATTGCAAACTAGACTGATAGAATCCAGTCTGCAGCAAACGCCAGGGATAACAGGCATGACATCGATTTGTGTCCAATCGGAGTACCACATATCTTGTCATTAAACTGCATCCCACAAAATACATTTTTCATTTTCGCCTCGTGTGTCATGGAACCGAGAAATGCGTTTCCTTGAATACTGAGATGGTATGTAGTACTCATCATTACATATGTGAAACACCTCTTCTTCAGACTACGTAAAAGAAACACCTCTTAGTATTCTAGCAAGTAACCAATCAAGTGTGTTATTTTTTGCTTACTTTTCGGAACGTAATTATTTTTTTCTTGTTTATCTGTGAAAATGAATTAGACAAATTACACATTAACTTAGATAAATACGTTGATTAGTTGAATGACACGAAAGAGATATCTGAAAACTGTGCATTTCCTTGAATATTTCTTCACGTTTTCTCAACAAATCCAATGTCAACATGTGAAGGCATTGTCGTTGCGTAATGTTTCTTAAACGTTGTACACAAACAACCATGACTCTTCTGGCTGAATCAGTGAACACCAGCGTCACTGAAAACCTGCCTGCTCATTTGTATCATTCATCGCTGACAGTCTCAGATCAATGAGGAGGTATACTGCAATTCAAGAGGTTGTTGGATTCTGGTCTAAGTGTCTGCATGGTGAAAGAGGGATGATCGATCCTCGGTGGGGTCGGTGTGCTTGCTGTTGCTGCGGAGGCCTGAGAGGCGTCTCGAATTAGGAGAACTCATTCATCTGGCATATAAGAATAAAACTTGGGCACTGTGGTAGAATGTAAATCCATTATGGGAAAATTTTTATTTTGATAGAGTCGCACAGTTTTATACAGAAATATTTACTGATGACGTTTCGAGCACAACTTATTGCTCATAATCATCATTGCTCATATCACCTTGATATGATTATGAGCAATAAATTGTGCTCGAAACGTCTTCAGTCATCTGGCGCCTGCTGATTTTATTTAGTGATTCATCTGCTCATTTCTGCTCGTGAAGAATTCTTCACTGAAATTAATACAATTCTGCACAAATCCATAACATCTAAAGTAATACATGCCACCATATAAACTTAGCAATATGCCTCGACAAAAATAATTCAACGAAGATTTCAATTCGCTCACGATCGAATAATGTGCTCATTAGTTCATTCCATTGAGCTGTAAATAAAAATAGTGAATTTTGAGTAAAACAGCAAGTATTGAATATAGGCGTCCAGGAAGTTATGCACCGTAATTCACTATTCCGCGTGCCTGCGGGAATGTAGTGGTGGCTCCAGAAGCAGTGTGACTATCAAACACCTCGTCAACACTGCCGATTCCATCTGAACAAACGCCTCTTCCCTCACAGTAATCTACGGACAGAAGAGTGATCTGCCGAAGGCAACTCACCATCGTCTTCTTCGTATTGCTGAAGCCTCACTCATTCACTTGGAAAATCCAGAGTCATGCGTACAAGAGGAAGTCACTCAACCACTCCTACTGTCATGGTGACAAACGTGTTGGTTTCTGATGACTTGCGATTTTTGTGCTTCTTTTTCTGAGTCCTTGCGACTCCTGCATCTCTCTAGAAGTCCTCCACAATTCAATATTCTCCTTCGTTTCCATGTGCATCCTGGTGTCAAGTCACCCAATAAATTATTCACCTTATTGAGTAACTCTAGTGCACCTAACTGACTTCTGTGATGCATTGACAACTCACCTCTACGACTACATTACCATTCTTGAAAACGCGTAGTCACAGTTTCATAGTTCGTCATATAATTGAGGGATTTCGATGGTGTAAACAATTACTCTGACTAGTGTGTATTCTTGTCTATCTGACAAGCTCAGTGTGAACAGACGCGCACACACACACACATCAATCATCATATATGGTGCTACTATAGATCTAAGTGAATGAGTTCGACGTCGGAAAGAGACTGTTCACTGAACTACGTGTTTCTTTGTTTTTACTAATTTCTGGATGGGGATTATTCATGAGTGCATCTGCATGTGAGTCGCATAGACTGACTGAAGGTGAGGGCATTGCTCCGCCAACAAATCCCTTCACAAGTTGATGGCTTCAACGTAACTTTGTGTTTTAGTGATGAGGCAGTCACAAACACATTCCGACTACTATTCGATCAACTGTCGAAGACCGGAAGGAGTATGATCAAATACTTCTCTTTACTGACTGACGGCTTGGCAAATGAAGAATAAATTCTTCATGGTTATTCATTTAGTAATGCATTCGTGATAATCAGTGACTCTCTCGAAACGCTAGAAAAAAGTAAGTGAACACATTGATGCTGGATTCTCGTATTCCACTTATAGTGATGATGCAGTCAAGTTAATGGAATTATTACAATTCAGATGCGCTTACCGTTTGATGAATTCTTCAAGAAGTATAAGTATTCTGTGAAAAAATTGTTGTGCATAGTTACGCAGAATATTCAGTATGAAATACATTGAAACATATTTCTCACAGTATTCGTCAGAAGATATTCAGTAAACAAATGTTAGTCACTTGAGAGCAGCTTCTTGACTTCGATGCATGTCGGTTTACTGCACATGGTGTCAATTGGCGAAGTGATACTGTTTCATGACAGTAAAATGTCAGGCTATTTTGCAATATGTCGTGATTATGCTGCACTTTGTACATTGCAGTCTAACGTGCACAGGTAACCCCTGAATTTCACCCCCTATTTCCATAGTGAACTTCCATACTGAGTCTACATGACAGTTGTTTGTGTATGTGACGAAATTCTCAGTATCATTCTTCCGCACTATCACTCACGTGTCATCTGCACATCTCCACCAAGACTTTGTTAATGATATTATTTATGATTCAGGTAAATTGTCCTCCCTAAAATCCTCGATTATGTCAGCTATTATCGATGGGATGAACGATTCAATGACCACCGTTTCATTTCTTCTTCGTGTGCATCCACGACATTGTGACTAATAACGTCAAAGATTCCTCTATCCCCTTTCCATTGAAAGTGTCCTGATACAGTGTATCTGACAACTTCGTCTATTGGAAGCGTAGTGAGTGTCCAAGTGTTCTGAGTGTGCTATTCCGAAATCATAATGAGTAACACTGATGCCGACTGATAGCTGATACCTTGACGTGGTGGTCGCGCTTGCATATCGCAATGACTCAATGAGCTACACTGGCTCGAACTTATGTTCCTGTAGGTCTTACCATCCCAGAAAGGTTGTTTGGATAGCAGTTAGAGAAGAAGCAGCTACCGAATCCAATAATATGTTTCAAACAAACTCACAAAATATCATGCCAGATCGGTCATGGCCCGGATTAACAACGACCGCGCTTCCTGCTGATGTGTCACAGGGCAGAGATGATAAATATGCTACTGAGACACACCAAACAAGAGAGAGGAACCAAAAACAGGCCGCGTGTGACCGGAGTGAAGCATTTGTGCCCTGGGCTCTGCCATCACGCAACACTAACCTTTACTGTCTCCCCTACTCAAGCGTGAGTTTAGCAACCCCACCCTGTAAACAAACCTGTTCTAAAACCTTCTGCACGATGCAAATTTTTGTGCCAAAAGAAAACGTCTGTGTGTGGACATGGAATGTCTGTACCATTTACGAGATTAGCAAAGCTGCCCAGATCGCAAATGAAATGAAAAGATACGGAATTCAAGTACTTGTGTTATGCGAAAGCAGATGGAACGGGAATGGACTCACCAAATTTTCAACGGGTGACTCAGTGATCTACTCCGGTCACCCAAAGGATAACCACATACACAACGAGGGCGTGGCTTTCATGATGTCACCAACGACAACGAAGGCTTTGACGCAAAGGGAGGCCACCTCATCCAGGATAATGACCGCCAGATTCAACTCCAAAGGAAGGAAAGTGTCAATTATACAATGCTATGCACCTACAACCAACGCAGACCTCGAAACGAAAAAAGAATTCTACAGACAACTACAGACAACAATAGACAATACTCCAGTCGGCGACATTAAAATACTAATGGGAGACATGAACTCCAAACTGGGACCAGACAACACAGGAAGAGAACTCATCATGGGTAGAGAAGCTCTCGGAGAAATGCATGAAAACGGAGAACTCTTCGCCGACTTCTACGCCTTCAATGAACTAGTGATTGGTGGCAGCGTTTACAAACACAAGGATATCCACAAGGCTACATGGGTGTCACCAGATGGGCAAACCAAAAACCAAATTCACTTCATCTCAATCTCAAGGAAGTGGAGGTGCAGCCTACTGGACACGCAAGTAAGAAGAGGATCAGACGTTGGCTCAGACCACTATCTCGTACAAGGGAAATCCAAATCAAGTTAAAAGCTTACGGAATCCTTCGAAGTGAGGACAAGAGTAAAACAAACTGGCTGCCTATTATCGCCAATGATTTTCCTGATTGTGGTAGATTGGATAATGCGGGCAATGAGGAAACAGGCGTAAAATGGACTCGAACAAGAACTTAGAGGATCTGGACTTCACCGATGATATATGTCTGAGTCCCACAAACTGGGAGATATGCAGGCAAAAAGCAACAAGTTGGCAAAAGAAGCATCCACAGAAGATAGGACTTCAGATGAACATAAAGAAAAAAGAGGCAATGAAGATTCCTGGACAAGAACAACAACAACAGACAACGATCAGCATAAATGAGGGACCTGAAAGAAACAACCTCTTTTACCTACCTGGGAAGCATCGTTTCAACTACAGGCGAACGGAACTGACGAGGATATCAAAGAAAGAATCGGAAAAGCAAGACAAGCTTTCACTACTCGCAAGTCTCTGTGGAGGTCAATAGCACTCAGTATCAAAAATAAGATCCGGATTTACAACTGCAATGTGAAGTCAGTGCTACTATACGGATCTGAGACTTGGTGCGTCATAAAGAGCATCTCAAACAAACTGCAGACCTTCATTAACAGTTGTCTTCGCTCAATACTCAAGATCAGATGGCCAGAACAGATCAGTAATAGAGATCTCTGGGAGCAAACCAACCAGGAACCGATTGTGCAAGAAATAGGCAGGAAGAAATAGAGATGGATTGGCCATACTCTGAGGAAACCATCAAGTGACATCACTAGATAAGCCATTGCTCGAGTGGAACCCGAAAGGGAAGCGGCGAGTTGGTCTTCAGTGCAAGGGTGACTAGGGGGAGGTCATGTGAAAAGGAGATGAAAACGTGTGGGCAGACATGGAGCCAGGTGAAGACTCTAGCAGAGAACCGAACGCAATGGAGCCGCACGGCTGAAGCCCTATGATCCTTTAGGAATTAAAGGAAACAATAATAGTAATAACACAGATGCCTCTGGCATATGAACACCAGATGGTGTACATTTTCACCATGTTCATTTATTCACTTTTGATTAGATTTAATTTACTCTTTTGACTAAATCCTTGATGAGAACTACTCATACATGTTAGTAAAATTAGTTACAAAATTGTAAAATCAGTTTAATTAGACTACTCCTACATCCCACACATAGGTGCACAATATTTGAAATAGAGAACGACCTTACTTCCGTAATCGCCAGGAATATTCTTCCACCCATCTGCAAACATATATGGGAGTTTCATCATTTGCAAGAGAAACAAAAATCTGTGATTTGTGTGCAGTCAAAGAGTAGGCTTCACGATATGATGAATAGGTTTCGAATGAATTCGATGTATGCAATCAATGAAATCTGTGTATTTGAGTTACAAGTCGCTGAAACTGCAAAGACGCGTTTCGTGGTGAAGTGGGAAGACGATCTGAATGCAGTGTAATCTTCAATCCTCACCATTCAGGTAGTGGGATTTTAACTGAAACAACTGACTGACCAGTAAGCAAAACGGTGTCTATCCGAGGCGCTCAGACACATCATATTACAGTATTCTCTGTCACAATCAACAGATCATGCGTGATTCTAGAAGTGCGTGCAAATGTGACGTCACCTCATGCTTTGTCTTGTCTGACGAGTGTTCCAATCTCTCAGTGATGCAGTTTGAGGATGCTTGTGCATTTTACATATCTATCCTCTTCAACTTGTCAACCTGCTTGAATAATTCTCACACCTGAGTTGAAATCCAACACGATGCAACATATTCTCTGTGATCGAAATTATTTTGCCAATTCAATCAATTATTTCCCTGAGTGACGAGACGTACTCATGCACATTTTAATTGCGTTGTGAACTACGCTGAGGATTTCTCAGGGAAGGTGAAGACAACCTATCGAATGGGACTAGTCCATACCGTATATGAAAGAGCAATGAATGAGGAGAAAACAGAGTACAATGAAATACAATGTGTACTCTGTTTAACAGGCGAGGATTTTGTCTGGAGGACAGCTGTTATTATAATGATGTTGATGGTGGTCTCACAATCTCCAATTGTGTTTCAGGCAGCAACATTACTCACTTACATACGAAAGCAAGCCTGACAAACTACGTTGTCATTACTGACTATGACATTTCAAGCGTCAGTATGTAGACTGAATCATACGATTTCTTCTGTGGCTATAGATGAACAGATGGTTTGTTGTGGATTCATCGGAAGTCTACTTATTCGCTACCAATTTCCTGCACCACTACTGGACTCCGAAGACAGGTAGGTGAAGCAAACCTCAAGATGATGGCAGGTCACTATCAGTCATTGCAAGGAGTGTAACATATGATAAGAAAGCTTATTTGTCCGAAGGAACAGAGTGCAGTTCAACTTACAAGTCCCCACTGGCGGTTCTGCAGTTGATGGCTTTCCTGTGGAATGTGAAAATCGTATTATAAATACACGAAAATACTTACATGTTCACAGATAAATGGCGAGTAATAAGTAGTGAGATTTCTTCACGGTGCATACTTTATTTATCGATGTCGAAATTCTCAGCACATAGAGAAGAGGCTTTGTAAAGGATCGGTCAAATCACGCTGGCACTAGCGCCAACGAGACATCCAGTGTTCGGTTTACAACGCATTTGAAGGCGTCAGCAAACGCACTTTCCCCCAGAAGGCAAAGATGGCGATATTTTGAATGGATGGCTGTCTCTCATTTGGTTAGGTTCGGTATAGAAATATGCTAAGCGACCTGGTTATCAGGCAAGCGTGTTCAAGATGTAGGCTGAGTGAAGACACGCAACTGTCAATGCTGAACAAAGGTAGCAATTCTGGGGCATCTGTTCCATTGTCAAGCTTCTGGCCTCATCAGGGAGATCTCCTCACCGGGCTGCATTCACAGTCATAGGTGTGGTGCATTCAGGTGAATATTGTCTAAGTTGACGCACAGAAAGATGTGCAATTTATACAGGAGACAGATTATGTGAACATGAGTTATCATAATTTTTAGATATGGTGTAGTATATGTGTAGCTCACGTGGATAGTGTGCATAGGGTTTCGGTTCGTTTAGATATTCCTCAATGAAATTTTATCGAATCAGCAATTTGTTTATGTGATCGTCAGTATCCAGCACTTGAAGCTGGCACTGAATATCCGAAATCCTTTGCAAATTCTATCAGTGGGACACACACACATTTGCCAAACACATTGATTCTCTGTTTCGACATCAGCGCTAAAAGTCTGAATCGTCTTCCTTATTGTTAATGCAGTGCCTTTTCACATTGTTTTGAGAATAATGCAAATCTACCTCGCTTTTGTGATCCAACATTCGACATGCCAAATAATGCTGCCGATGTTTGAGTCGATGCTGCCTGGATAATTAGGAGAATGAGATTACTTCAAATTTATCCTGTCAGCAGTTATCATCCTTGTTGTTTAGTTGCCATCACCGAATGCTTACTCATTCTAGATGTTACGCGTGCAGCTAGTTCTCATAAATATTTGGACTGAACATGTTATCCCCAGAGCCCATGCCATATTGGAAATAAGTCGTCCGAGAAGTCAACATCTTACACCGTCTCCCTATATACAAAACGCATTTCTGTGCACACGCACAGATGGATTGCTATATTATCCAGCATACAACATGAATACGAGTGTGGTTTTCGACTACGTGAAAGCATGCACGTCTCTGTTTCCTATGGAATTTCAAAAAACTCTACAAATTCAGTTGATAGTTGTGAGAATCAGTGAAGAATGAAGATGCAAGTGACCGTTATTTTACTAACTCCATGAATTTATTGGCTATATATCGGAAAAGGATTTGCATTTGTGTTAACAAACTGATTAACACGGGTGAATGAAGTTACCATAGCAGAAACAATGATTCGTGCTTACTTCCGTGTCCTGATTTCCCGTCTCCGTGTTCTAATAGTTGAAAAGAAAGACAAAATTATTTGTTTATTTCAATAACTAAGAGGTGAACGAGTCGGTTCTCGACTGAATTAGAACTGTAAGCTATGGTCATTCCACTGTGTCTTATAAGTCCAAGTCAAGTGATGATTACGAAAATATCTACTGTCTGGATGAGGTGTAGTGCCTTGTAGTCCTAGAGTGATTGACAGTCCAGTCGCCTCATTAATGAAATAGTCTTGTATTTCACATCATGACTTATGACAATTTAGTATTTATATAAATGTATATATATATATATTCATTTATATGAATGACGATTTGGTAAAAGTGTTTAATAAAGAGATGACATAATTTGGAGTTCAGTGGGGAATGACGTTAACCTGAGAATCACACTCCATTCATCGTCTCCCATTCCAGTTCCACTCGAGTGCTAGCCTGCCGCGCGGTGTCGTTCAGCGGTCTCCTCAGCGTCTGTCCAAGGCATTGCCATTTCCTTCGAAATATCTGTTGAGCGATGGGCCCTGGCATGCTGGTTCCAGCCCAAAGTTTCTTGTTGCTACTTCTTTCAGGTTGGCCGCTAGATCTGCTGAATAGAGCAAGCGGAGAGTGCAGGTGTTGAAAAACGTCTGAGGCAGTCTGTATAAAATGCTCTCCGTGACTCTGACGCCAAGTCTCTGACGCAATTAGAAGAACTGACTGGCTAGACACTGGTGCTGACCATCGGAATCTCCTTCCTTACGCTGAGTGGGAGCAGGAGATTCGCAAACTGACTTCAGAGTAATGAAACATTTTCTTGCGCTTCCCATTCTGGTTCTTACATCTGGATTCATTCTGTCCACCTGTAGTTGCAGTGATGCTTCCTATGTAAGTGTAGGAAGTAACCCTTGTCAAATGTCTCCCGTTGAGAGTGACTACTGCTCGTTGTTCAGGCGAAGTCCTGTATTCGTCGCCCCCTCCTCTACCGGCTTTTTCGATTTTGCCCATAGGTCTCCGAGTTTCTGTCACATTACACATAAATCATCGACGAAATCCACATCTTCTTCAGTTTTCTTATCGGTGGTCCAGCATATCACTGTCTTCTCACCCCCACCCGAATTATGATGCTCGATCCAGCAGGATACATTTAACAATATCATCGGTGATGGTAGGCAGGCAGCCATGTCTTACTGCTGTCTTCACTTCAGACGCCTCACTAAGTTGTCCGTTGTGGATCACTTGATATGTACCCTTGTCACAGAGCTGGCTGTTGAATGAGGATTGTAGATATTTCGAGCAAGCCTCACTGGTACAGTTGATCCTAACAAGCACAGGTGAGATGTTTCGCTATCGCTTTTTGTCGTCTTCAAGCTCTTCTAACTACCTGGCTGACGTGCCTCAGATATTTCTAATTTCCATCAGGGTGCATTATTCCTCTATTCAATCCACCTTTCATTCATTCATTCACTCAGTATCACATCTCTGCATTACACATTGAATTTCTATCTGATGACGAAGACAAATCACTGAATGATTTTGCATTCTCCACTGACAGCATTTCATCTCCGCATAATTCAATACAATAGGCTAGTGTGAGATGAAATCTGCTGACGTTTGTTTCAGGATGTCCATTCTCTCAAACCTCCCAACCTGATTAAAACTGTTCAAGCGGACATTCTGCGTTGAAGTATCCTTCAATTTTAAGAAGTCTCGAGGAGATTGTGGCTCTCAGTGATTGGATTGGCTGATGTTCGATGGGGAATTATTGACAGGGTATCAGTACTTGGGTGGTTTTAGACGACGTGTTGAGCAGAGATTCGAACGCTTGTACAGATGACCAGTGATATCATGAAATGCATCATGTATATAAATGCATGTGGATATTCCCTCTTCTACAGGCCAAGCATTCACATTCGAAGGTATCAAATGTCACACAATAATGTATTGAAACACTTTAACTCACTCTTCAGATATTTGTGCATGAATTCTACATTAGTTGATGAAAGGAGACAAATTAGACAGTAATTTATAGACATATTTGTCAGTGTGTGATATGAAAAATAAAGGAGTGAAGACGAGCCTACATCAGTCAGAGGACCACTGTCAGTCCAGTTGTGCACTATTCCGCAGCACGCACACACCACAGTTGTGTGTGAAGTCTGGACATTCCGGCTAAGAGGCGAGCTGGTGGACCCTTCACCCACTGAAATCTAACCCAATGGTCAATGAATAACAACTTCTGCCAACTCGTGATATGTAACAAGCGCAACCACCAGTGTGACCAGTGATGAACACCAAGTCAGGGAAGAGGACATTTACTCACCTGTGACACTGGCTGGCGCTTGTGCTAAATACGCATTACGAATAGGAGGACGCTGGGATGTATGAAATATTGAGTTTGTTACCAGTCGCTTTATTGTCTATATGCGTGGCTCGTTACCAGATAATTCCTATTTCCAACCTTCGTGTGTGTGTACTGAAGATGAGTCGAAAACTTGGCTGACGGAACAGCGGTGCATTGCTTCGTGCTTATCTTTTAATTGATCTCGAAACATGATCACTCTTGTTGCCAACAGGAACACTGCAAATGAATACTTAATGCACAACATGAGAGTTATCAGGGGAAAAATTGAGAATGTTACCTGAGTTCTCCTCTTAGGTAAATTTTTATTTAATTTATTTTGATTACAGCTTGATTCCACACTGTATTTTCAGTACAAGTATGGAATTTTCAGCATGGATATCGGTAGCCCAAATTTAGAGGCTGACCATAGATATCGGGTGTGCGCCGGCAGGAGATCGATCCCCTGACCATGTGCATGGTCGGCGAGTCCTAACCACTGTGCACACTGTGAGATGGACGAATGAGCTACAAAGTTAACGTTCAATATCCAGCCTGGGAAGAAAATCAACTCTTCCCTGACATCCTATCCAGCGAGAAATTTAAGTCAACACTACGTCCTCTTCATCTGTTCCATTCCATCATTGACTTGATGTGGAGGACAAGAATAAGTCTGTAAGACTGTATTGCTGACTAGTGCCAGTCAACAATTAGGAGACATAGGACCAGGAGCGACTTCCTGTCAGTTGCCTCCAAACACCGAATAACGAGAATCCTGAGTACACAGTGATGAAGATCTGCCTAGCTCGTTGGTGGTCACATTGCAAACTAGACTGATAGAATCCAGTCTGCAGCAAACGCCAGGGATAACAGGCATGACATCGATTTGTGTCCAATAGGAGTACCACATATCTTGTCATTAAACTGCATCCCACAAAATACATTTTTCATTTTCACCTCGTGTGTCATGGAACCGAGAAATGCGTTTCCTTGAATACTGAGATGGTATGTAGTACTCATCATTACATATGTGAAACACCTCTTCTTCAGACTACGTAAAAGAAACACCTCTTAGTATTCTAGCAAGTAACCAATCAAGTGTGTTATTTTTTGCTTACTTTTTGGAACGAAAATACTTTTGCCTCGTTTATCTGTGAAAATAATTTACACGAATACACATTAATTTAGATAAATACGTTGATTAGTTGAATGACACGAAAGAGATATCTGAAAACTGTGGATTTCCTTGGATATTTTCTCACGTTTTGTGGACGAATCTTATGTCAGCATGTGGTGACATTGTCGTAGCGTAATGTTCCTTACACATTGTACACAAACAACCACGATTCTCCGGGCTAAATCAGTGAACAACAGCGTCATTGAAAACCTGCATGCTCATTTGTATCATACATCGCTGACAGTCTCAGATCAATGAGGAGGTATACTGCAATTCAAGAGGTTGTTGGATTCTGGTCTAAGTGTCTGCATGGTGAAAGAGGGATGATCGATCCTCGGTGGGGTCGGTGTGCTTGCTGTTGTTGCAGAGGCCCGAGAAGCGTCTCGAATCAGTAGAACTCAGTCATCTGGCGCCTGCTGATTTCATTCAGTGATTCATCTGCTCATTTCTGCTCATGTAGAGTTCTTCAGTGAAATGAATACAATTCTGCACAAATCCAAAACATTTAAGTAATATATGCCATCATTTCATCTTGGAAAAATATCTTGATAATAATTTGTAAACATAAATTTCAATTCGCTCACACTCAGATACGAATTTCGTCAAATCATCCCAATCAACTAGAAAAAGAAAGATGTGAATTTTGAGTAAAGTAGCAAGTATTGAATATAAGTGTCGACGAAGTTATGCACCGTACTCCACAGTGACAGGTGAACTGATATATGCACAAAGAAGTGAGCATATGTGAGATCTTGTTCTCAAGACTTCTACAGCCCAATGGCCGACTGATGAACACTACGCTTAGCTCTGCTCGCTCGACGTGTATCCTGTCAAAAAGAGCTGCGAACCACTATCCTGCATGTCTGCGGGAATGTAATGGTTGCTCCAGAAGCAGTGTGATTATCAAGCACCTCGTCAACACTGCCCATTCCATCTGAACAAACGCCTCTTCCTTCACAGTAATCTACGGACAGAAGAGTGATCTGCCGAAGGCAACTCACCATCGTCTTCTTCGTATTGCTGAAGCCACACTCATTCACTTGGAAAATCCAGAGTCATACGTAAAAGAGGAAGTAACTCAACCACTCCTACTGTCATGGTGACAAACGTCGGAAGGAGACTGTTCACTGAACTACGTGTTTCTTTGTTTTTACTAATTTCTGGATGGGGATTATTCATGAGCGCATCTGCATGTGAGTCGCATAGACTGACTGAAGGTGAGGGCATTGCTCCGCCAACAAATCCCTTCACAAGTTGATGGCTTCAACGTAACTCTGTGTTTTAGTGATGAGGCAGTCACAAACACATTCCGACTACTATTCGATCAACTGTCGAAGACCGGAAGGAGTATGATCAAATACTTCTCTTTACTGACTGACGGCTTGGCAAATGAAGAATAAATTCTTCATGGTTATTCATTTAGTAATGCATTCGTGATAATCAGTGACTCTCTCGAAACGCTAGAAAAACGCAAGTGAACACATTGATGCTGGTTTCTCGTATTCCACTTATAGTGATGATGAAGTCAAGTTACTATAATAATGACAATTCAGATGCGCTTACTTTTTCGTGAATTCCTCTGATAGCTTGAGTATTCTGTGAAAGAAAATTTGTTTTAGTTACGCAGAACGCAAAGTACGAAGTGCAATGAAACCGATTTCTCACAATGTTCGTCAGAATATATTGAGTGAACAAATGTTAGTCACTTGAGAGCAGCTTCTTGACTTCGATGTATGCCAGTTTCCTGCACATGGTGTCAACTGGCGAAGTGATACTGTTTCACGTCAGTAAAATGTCAGGCTATTTTGCAATATGTCGTGATTATGCTGCACTTTGTACATTGCAGTCTAACGTGCACAGGTAACCCCTGAATTTCACCCCCTATTTCCATAGTGAACTTCCATACTGAGTCTACATGACAGTTGTTTGTGTATGTGACGAAATTCTCAGTATCATTCTTCCGCACTATCACTCACGTGTCATCTGCACATCTCCACCAAGACTTTGTTAATGATATTATTTATGATTCAGGTAAATTGTCCTCCCTAAAATCCTCGATTATGTCAGCTATTATCGATGGGATGAACGATTCAATGACCATCGTTTCATTTCTTCTTCGTGTGCACTCACGACATTGTGACTAATAACGTCAAAGTTTCCTCTATCCCCTTTTCATTGAAAGTGTCCTGATACAGTGTATCTGAAAACTTCGTCTATTGGAAGCGTAGTGAGTGTCCAAGTGTTCTGAGTGTGCTATTCCGAAATCATAATGAGTAACACTGATGCCGACTGATAGCTGATACCTTGACGTGGTGGTCGCGCTTGCATATCGCAATGACTCAATGAGCTACACTGGCTCGAACTTATGTTCCTGTAGGTCTTACCATCCCAGAAAGGTTGTTTGGATAGCAGTTAGAGAAGAAGCAGCTACCGAATCCAATAATATGTTTCAAACAAACTCAAAAAAATATCATGCCAGATCGGTCATGGCCCGGATTAACAACGACCGCGCTTCCTGCTGATGTGTCACAGGGCAGAGATGATGAATATGCTTCTGAGACACACCAAACAAGAGAGAGGAACCAAAAACAAGCCGCTTGTGACCAGCCTCAACCAGTTGTCCCCTGGGCTCTATATATCCTGAGCACAAATCATTCATCAAATTTTTCATCTTATTACGTAAATCTAACACACTCATTTGACTCCGTTTATGCATTGACTATCATTAGCAACGATGATACCAACAGCATAACTATGTCGTCAGCGTCATATCATGTGGACATGAGTGAGTCTTGTCTGGAACGAGGAAAGCATGTGCAGTAAGCATGTATACAGCTGTTACTACTGTTAAACCATAAACAAGCTTCTTCGTCCAAATTTAATCAGTTTTAATTTTGTGTGTTTAAGTAGACGACAAATGACCTATATAACGTATTTATATATATGCGTGTTTACCATGCATAGAAGTTTCTATAGAATTCATTTGTATTCTGAACAAATTGTTCTCAGTGCGCTATCAAACTCTGTCGACGTACAGTTGCACTGTGTGTCCCAGCTCAAATGCGTGAACTTACTTGGAAATGCTGGTCTCCCGTTGGCTAATTGAACATCGGAGTCTGTTAAAAAGAACGGATTCAATGACATGACAAACAACAAGAAGAGCACAGCAGATCTGGTGACATATTCAAACTAAACGAAATATAATCACTTATCTATTTGCTGATTTAACAATAGAATTCGACCAGTGTGAAACTCTGTACTTATTGAAATTAACAACTTTCACAATATCACGAACATCAAAGCGATTTGAATCAGTATTTTCAGTAACTCTCTACCTTGAAAAATCATTCCAATCAGTATTAGTCCAGATATGAATAATCTATACGATCACTAAATCTCTACATTCTCTGAAGTGAGAGCTACTAATGAATTGATTTCCCCTCGATCTGTGTGTCTCAACATTGGTTAAGTTACATTCACTGTGCATATTTTATATGTATGTTAGTCTGTTGTCAAATATGTTTATCTAGCCGGAAATTGCATATTTCTTCGCTGAATCATACCGTGGTCTAAACCTATTCCAGAACGTTAAAATTTACTCAGTGAAAATTTGTCTTTCAAAATTTGTCAGAATCTTATGTAAGTAAATAAGTGACTTTTAGGAAACACAACTGGAACAAAATCTGAACGCTTTGTGTTTCATTTATGGCAACCAATATGTCTGGAAAATGACACTGTTTTGTTTTTGTATGAGTCTTACACAAACTTCTTACCAAGGGTATCAAAATCTGAAGTAAAACAGGAATCATTGATATCAGTATGATACTTGGGCACTGTGATAGATTATAACTCCATTATGGATAAAATTTTATTTTGATAAATCACACAGTGTACTGGAAACTTCGTCAGTTAATACTAATGGACAGCAAATTGTGTGATTTATCGAAATAAAATCTTATCCATAATGGAGTTAAAATGGATATACACGCTAGTCAAAATATTGTAGACTGTCAAGTAAGATAATAACAATCCTTATTCTTACAAGATTTGACGATAAAACCATTGAGTCATTCAACACAGGCAAAGCATACCAAACACTATACTGAAAAGTCGCGTTACATATAGTTTAAGTAGGTTACAGAAGCTTAAATCATCACATGTTTAAATGTGGCTAATTACCTCGGTACTTACATTTAGTTCAGTCTGTGAGTATATATACACTCATGTATATCTAAGTGACCAGCTAAAAACTAGAGCTGTTGAAAACATCCATCATTATATTGCATATAATTCCTCTTCTTCAGTTCGTTTTAATCAATTAAAGCACGACTTCTGATTGTGTTTTTTACGCAGTTAAGTGATTATAGAACTGTTATAACCTGCTGCAATGTCAATTCCCAAAAAAAATTGAGAAATAGCGTAATCGTGAGTGTCAAATTGTCTCAACAAATGAGGTAGTTGTTCCTCAGATTTTTAATACAAACTGCCACCGCTCAAGAGAAATGAAAACTAGCTATCTGCAGTCTTCATTTATTCAGCACTGTCCCTCGATATCAAATTGTTCCCCTGACCAACTTCTTTCACTGTGCATTTCTCGAGGGAGGCAAGTAATCAGGATTACTGCAGTACTCCATCAAAAAAGATTTGCTCAGTTTCTTGCCTTGATTCATCAAATGTTCGAAGAAGTGAATAAATGGGGGTAAACTGGCGACGATACCATGAAAATAATTAATGAAATGTTTAAGTTTTCTATGTCATTCTTTAAACGAGCTAACTCCAAAGCTTTTCTCATCACCTCGATATCAACCACACAGTTTTAGAAAGTTCAACTATATAGAAAATAATTATTTTTACACATTTACTTAATATTAAAATTATCACTGTAATAAAATAAATAGTATTTACATTAACGGTAAATACTTGTGAATACTCAGTTTAGATAATTACTCACCTGCAACATCAATAACGACGAACAGGAACAAACAAAGGAAGCAATAGATCTTCATGTTGAATGTGTTGTAAGTAGAGTAGTTCACGCGCTTTTATACTGAAACAGATGTCGTTGTGAACGAATCATCAAAAGCCAAGTTATTCTGCTTTTACTATTGGTTGAGTGATTTCAATTCCTGCTACTGATTGGTTACTGATTAAGGCGATAATGTGATGATTTTTGTTTTCACATAGTCGACTGCTCTTTCTTCTCTGGAAGTAGAAAACACCACACATGTTAAACAGTGGTAGTTTTGTAACTTGCATTAACCAGTTTCTAGTTCGAAGACGAACTAAACAGGAAGAAAAGGGGTTGCTAAACGAAGATAAAACGGTATTCGAATGTGGCTCCATAGAGATCAAAATATTCGCGAAGCAAAAAATGAATCAAAAGTTACGCTTAGGATACAAACTACATTCGGATGTGTCTGAAATCTGTCGAGCACACAAATTTGATATTGAACAGTCTTGTTTAAATGTTTACAGTGATATTCACACCATCTGATAAAAATTTGAGTCTCAAAAATCTCAGTAATGCCGAAACAAATTGACTTCAAGGTAGAAGTAGAATTCAATAGAACGCTCAGGAAGGATGAAAATCCTTCAAGGAGATCAATTCACGAAAGCCTTCATGTAACGGAGACTTGAAAACGGGAAGAAGAATATTATACATTCACATTTCTCAAACTGCCTTTTCAAGGAAACCTGAGGGAGCTCGGAAGAATCCTGCTGAACCGTTGACTTCTCACCGACACAGACAGGCATAGATTAGATGTCAAAATAACTGCTGAACAGAAACAAGTTGCTTCCAAAACATATTGCTGCTGAATTTCAAAAATAGAAGTGATAATAAGCCAGCCATACTCTGAAAGCATCTCACAAATTCTCCCAATAAAGCATACTTCTCTGTCATCGTGTTAAATGACATGTACACCCAGTCAGTATATGTGGGACAAACTGGAGCATTTGACTACATCGGAATGCCTATACCAGTTCATCTACTCCTGTGCAGCTCATTCAAATGACCGTAACACACATCAACTTGTATAATCCACTCTTGAATGTGACTCGACATCCACAGCAGAGGAAGAATATAAGTGAGTCTGTAGTACCTCTATATTGATCATGAATATACGCTTACACAACTAATTCATGTAAGCATATTACGCCTTTAGAGAAAGCAATTTTGTATACGCTTGTGTAATATTCGCCATTGTATTATTGAACACTCCTTCTCGTTTGTTACATATAATTATTTTGTGTGGTTGCAAACTCTTTCGTACTCCTCGCGATTTTCGAAATTTGATTTCCTCGACAATAAATCTTTTCAAGTTTTCACTTGTGCTTTTTAGTACGGCGTCGTTCATCTTTGGCAGTGTACAGCGTCAGCACGACCTAGAACCTGATACGTTGATGAACTATGGTATTGTGATCGGAGTCATATTTAGTATGCAATAAGTCTAAAAGTCGACAGTTCGAAATCTCGTGAAATTAAGAAATTTACAATAATTTTAGAAATTGCTCACGGTTGTAAACAAGACACTTTCAAACGCCCGATGAAGATGTCAGGGCATAAATGAAACATTATTATGGTTAAGTGTCAACACGAACTTCATCTTCTTCTTCTTCTTCTTAGTACGTTCTATCATTTATTGTGTATAGTCCGTGTCATCTAATGCTTGCACTTCTGACTGAACTCAGGGCTTCGACAACACATCTACATTTCGTCCCGTTGTTTGTCGGGTTTTCTAGATGTCTTCACTACATCCCATGAGCTCCTCCATCCTACTCATGTGATATTCGTCACGTCACTCTCGGATGCCCAACTCGTCACTTCACAGGCAAGTTACATTAGACAGCTTGACGGAGAATGTCACTCAATGTTCCATTCAGAGTAAATGTCCCCTTGATGACTCTTTTGTCTACAAACGTTTATTGTAGTCTATCGATCCCAACTGATCAACCCGTCTTCAATATCGCGTTCAGGCATTGGGTGATGAAAGTACACACTAAATTGTCGGAAATGTTTCCTGTAGGGTGATTGATAACTAACAGAACTGAATAGAAGAAGGGACTTCATATCAGCGTAGACGTCATGAGTAGTGCTGCAATTCATGGCACCTAGTTCAGCAAACAGAAACAGAAATAACTAAACTGAATCTGTGGCCAGTCATGTGCGACTCGGATGTAGACAGTGTGATGGCATGAGAATCACCTCCATTGAACGTTTGCTAGCAAACAATCCGACTCAACTACTGTGAAGATGAAATCGCATAGAGAACCAGTCGTAGAAAGGTTTCACTAGCGCTTATGGGATAAAAGTTTATGTGTATTAATAGTTTTCGTAATGAATCGAATGTCCACAATATTCACTGTATTTGAATGCATCGCACAAGACCTTCAAATATGATTCCACAGAATGCATAGTCGACAGTGATTAGTGACACATTCCAATAGGTAAAACAAGTGAATAATTACTAAAGATTTACCTTCCATCATAGACAGATTTACTTCAAAGACACAGAGGGAAGGTGGCTCTTCACCTATGCGAAAATCCGGCTCACACTGAACCACTCCTCACAGTTGACGAAGTGTTTGAGACAGTAAGGAGAAAGCAGAATTAAGCCACAGGACTAACATCAGTAAGCGAACAACTCAACACACCTTGAAGCTGCTGTAAACAGTCTCCGTATCAAATCATTCTGATATGAGGATGGATTAAAGCCTTTATTTATCGCACGCATAGATTTATGAACACAAGAGTAATGCTGAAAACTGAATCACGTTCTTCAGACAACAATGAAACAGGGACACATTGTATATTACTGGACGTCGTTAGATTCGACTTTAAGGAATAAAAATTATCTTTGAAAAGCAGACATTAGTCACTCTTCATACACTTTGGTTGACTTCTTGATTGATTAGCAGCAGTTTCGTTTGTTCAGGTGAGATTTCGTGATTGTGTGAGATTCTGACCGGATGCTCAATGTCACTTCAGATAAAGGCATTATATAAACCCTTCATGATCGATTAGTCCAGGGATTTCCTTGTGTATCGAAGGAGCTTCTTCTGTGTACAGATAAAGTAGCCGGAAATCCTTCGAACAACACTGACCTGCCATCTAGATCACTATGAAAGATATTTATACTCATATGGTTGTCGTTCCAAGAACAGGGTGTTCTTGAATTAAACTATTCGTTCGTCTTATTTCTTTATTCAACAAGAATATTTGAAGACGTCTTTGTGTGAGTCTAGGCAGCTTCCTAGTCGATTGACTGTACCATGTTTTATGTATGCATACACTCTATTGATTTACGAATGAAGTTGCACAACTGTATCAAAACAGCATTTTTCGGTTCTTAATAAACATTTTCTCATTCCAGTGGAAAAGAAGACAACTGGATATGGTCTCGTAGTCTGATTTTGTGGAGAGAAGATGCTGGCCTCACGTCCAATCTCCATTCTTTTTCAGGCCTACCCTCAGCTGGAAAACGAAGGAGAAGGTCCAATGCTGTTTTAGCAGCTATTAGACCTAGACCACTTGAGAGGCAGGCGAGCACGCTATCAATTAGTTACCATCCCAATAAAAGCTGCGAAATCCATTTCACTTTGTTTATTGAGTGAATCACAGACAACGAAACAGAATTATTTACTGTATGACCAGGTTCCAAATGCAATTTATTATTGTCCATCATCACATCAATTATGATTGCTCATGTTTCCTACTTTAGTGTCATAGTTTTCTTTATTGCTTCTCATTTGCTGTAGTGGTAGTAGGATTGTTCTCGAGGTGGATGTTAGAAAACTTAAGTGATGATGAACATATCTGCTTATATTCGTTGTACATTAAAATTTAGTTAACATAAATATTTATTTCTACTTTGTCCTTTTAGGCATCTATGCGACTAGTTTATTTAGCGTTTATAGGGTAATTGGGGTATTTAAGTTCGTTTTTAGGTACTGCAGTTAACAAAAAATTGATTTGTTCTAGAAATAAATAGTTTGTCAATGTTATCAGCAGAGTGAAACATTCTGTGCAGAGAGCGTCTGAAACTTATAACCTAAGTGGAAGTTCTGACATCTAGGGTCAGGCTGTTCCATATTTTACAATACACGACTGCGAAGAAGTTTTCACGGAGTGTTGACTTAAAGGCTTTTATTGTCACTGTGCAAGTTTGGTTACGCAGATCGTAAGAGCCTTCCTGTGCGAATTGTATGTCCTTACTGTCTGAGAATGATATTTTGTGGAGGACCTTAGAGAAGAATACTAGGTTAATAATAAGTCGTCTTGTCCAAAGTGAGTCAAGTTTTAGGATCATGCACTGTGAGATGCAATCCTTCTTACAATCGTAGCCAAGTAATTTGAACTTAAAATATCGTTGGATAATTTCTATCCTTAGCTTGTCACGTGTGCGAGTGCTGCTAATAATAAATGGACAGTATTCTAGTAGTGGCCTCACACAGGTTTTGTACAGAATTAGCTTGGCTTCGTTGTCGTGAAATTTCCTGAGTGTGCATCCTCAGCGCATTCTCGACTTTCGAGTCTGTGATGACACTCACTTAGAGAATGTCAAGTCACTAGAGTACCTCAGTCCGAAATCAACCACTCTTTGTAGTCTGGTCAGGTTAGTCGTTTGAAGCGTTAATTGCAAGTCAATTGATGATGTGCCGAAGCAGATCGAACCACATTTGTTCAGGTTAAATTGTGGATTCCATAAAGACGACCAAGCAGTCACTTTATCTTATTCTATCTGCACAACATTCTCGAAGTACCCTAGATCATCACATTGGAATGTATAAGCTCCTTTCAGGCCATCTGCAAAGATGAATGTTTTATTATGTGAGAAGCAAGCGCATATGTCATTGATACATAGTGTAAATAGGAGGGGTCCAATGACACTACCTTGTACTACACAAGAAGAGATTGGGCTAGGTTTCGAAGTTACAGACCCGAGTTTCACTATTTGGGACCTGTTGTTAAGGAATGATTAAAGTCATCCTAATAATGGATCGCGTATTCCAAA